TAAAATAAAACAGCCCATTACCAATGAAGACATGCTGAACATTGTTGACCAGAAGTACCAAGACCAGTTTGCTGAGATCCTCAGGAGAGTCTCTGACATATTGAGGTTGTTTTTGTAGTTGATGTAGAAGTTGAGTCAAACAGTAACTTATATGACCTTGTCAGCAAATTGAAACTCCCCAACAATAGGAGAATTCATGCTGGCATGGGGTAACCCACAACTGGTCTCCTAATGACTTTCCTGGAAAATCCTGAAGATGTTGTGAGTATACATTGGGGAGGAAGGACTTCATCTATGGAGAGCCTAGGAAACTCATCACCAAAGATATGTTAAGGCTAAATTCCTGGTGTACCAGCAGGTGATCAACAATAATTCTCCACACTATGAATTCCTGTGAGGTCCAAGAGCCTACACTGAAGCCAGCAAGATGAAAGTTCTAGAATTTTTGGCCAAGGTCAACAGTATTGTTCCTCCCACTTTCTCAACATTATATGAAAAAGCTTTGAAAGATGAAGAAGAGAGATCACAAGAGAGAATTTCAGCCAGTCTTGACACTACTGCCAAAGCCAGGTATGTTCTATGGTGTTATGGTTAAATATGAGGTGTTCCCCCTGCAAAAAAGTTCATGTGTGGGACAATGCAATAAGTTTTAGAGGGGGAATGATTGGGTTATGATAATCTTAACCCATTCAGTGAATTAATCCCCTGAATAGGGATTAGGTGAGTGATAATTGAAGTCAGATAGGGTGTAGTTAGAAGAGGTGGGTCATTGGGATATGTCTTTGAGGTATATATTTTGTATCCTGTGAGTAGAGTCAGTGTTTGTCTGTCTCTGATATTCATTCTCATTCTCTCTCTCTCTCTCTCTCTCTCTCTCTCTCTCTCTCTCTCTCTCTCTCTCTCTCTCTCTCCTCCCCCTTCCTGGTTCCATGTCCTGACCTGTTTCCCTCCACCACACTCATTGTCCATGATGTTCTATTTCACCTCAAGCCCCAAGGAAGCTGGGCTTCTATGGACTGAGACTTCTGAAACCTCTTCTAATTTTCCTTGTCAGGTTCCTTGGTCACAGCAGTGAAAAAGCTGACTAAAACACATGACTATATCCAACAGCCTCTCTTAGACCTATTTTAGTCTGAGACCTTCTTATAAGAAAACATGACACAACAATAAGAGTTTTCTTGGAAATATGAAAAAAACAATAATAAAGCAGTTGAGAAAATAGAAGAGTAAAAAAATAAAACATGATCAATCTTGGATTCCCTCATTTCTTTTAGTCTTTATTATGTAATTGAATGGTTTATACCTTGATATGGTTAGCTTATTAATAATAGGGTATAAGTCAGACTTCTTGCTCACTGTTCTTATTCCCAAAACATCAGTTGATTATCTCTTCCTTGGGAGGTTCTGTGATCATACAAGAATTGCTAAGATATAGATTCTACCCATAATTTTAGAAACTGGGAGCTACACTCATATGAGGAAAATGTTGAGATACCCTATATGACTCATAGGATAGTAGAAAGAATGAATGAAAAGGAGAAGAAATTGCCTGTGGCAAGGCAATTTGAATGTCAGGAAACTTCAAGTCAATGTGATGCAACTTTAAAATTAAGCTTCATGGTGATCTCTACGTGGCTGTGGGGTTGGTGAGCAGAGGCCATACCCTTAGAAACTCTGTCACAAATTTTAAAAAGAAGACCCTTGAATTGAAAACTGTAGTGGAAGGCCTATAATATAAGATCCAATATTATGTATTGCCTTGAAATTTCATGAAACCAGCAGGGCCTCAAATGACCTAACTGCAAGTTCCCCAATATGTACTATAGATAAGATCTCCTTGCCAAACAAGTATCTTTATTAAGAAGATTAGATACAGAAGCTTTTGGACTTATTCAAACAAAAAAATCACCTCTTCTTCTTAATCTACAAATCCTGTCTTCTACTTATTTACTCTGTTTCTGAGTGCAACTCCCATGTGGTCTTGTGCAGCATATAGTGTCTTCCTCCCTCAGGAAGGAGTCATCTGTGCAGTGTCCAGCGTTGTGTGTTTGCATACAACATTAACACACTGGAGGAATTCCTCCATCACAAGTGGAATAATTATTAGGCCATTAAAGAACACTTTCAAGAGTAACTTTGGGATCACAGATAATATAGATTCCAAAGAAGTATCTACTTACAGGCAGTGTTTTAGAGTTTTAGGGCTACCATTAAAAACTGACCATAAGCTAATAGCTTAAATAGCAGAATTTTTCTTTCATAGTCCAAAAGGCTACAAGTTCAAGATCAAGGTCCCAGAGGATTGGCTTCCTCTGAGGCCTCTCTCCTTGGTTTGTAGAAGTTCATCTTCCTTCTGCCTCTGCACAGGGTGGAATTTTGGTGTATGTCCATGTCTGGTGTCTTCTTGTGTGTTATAATAATTTCTTATAAGGGCATCCTATCTGTATTAGGGGGTACCCTAACTGCTTCATTTTAACTCAATTACCCTTACAAAGATCTTATCTTCAAATATAGTCACACTGTGAGGGACTAGAGTTTAGGAGTTCAACATATGAATTTTGGAGGAGAGGGTATACAATTCAACCCATATGGACAAGAATAGAAGGAATCTTTGCCCTTGTCTATATGTAGTAGAATACAATGCATAAACTAGGTGTTCTATGCATATTGACTCCTGGAGCTTCTGAAAAATAAAGGTGATACTTCTTTGAGGTGAGATGTACAGAAGTCATTGTATTGTCAATTTGCCATCAACTAAAAGGAATAGATGCCACTTCTTTGAAAGAGCATTGTACTTAGGTTACATTGAGGATTACTTCGCAAATTCTGATAGCAAGCTAGATTTTTGTGAGGAAGAAATGAATAAAAAATAGAGGAAGTTTGGATGGAAATGTAGTTGGGAAGCACTGAATGAGTTGGTCCTTGACAAAATTCTAGGAACTTTGAGATACATGCAGGTGGGAAGAACCCCCCACATTCAAATTAAATAGCAGATGCCCTCATAGGGAAAATCTAATTTTACTTCCTAAAATAGATTTTTAGCTGATTTGGTTCTTTGATAGCATTTCATTTTATTTGACATATCCTGGATTTTAAAAAATTCCTAAAGGAGAGTGGTATTATCTGGATAAAAATCATTATAACTGCCAATCACTGAACACTGGATATTTGTCAGTCATTATGACAAGGGCTTTCTGCCCAATACATATATTCCCATGATCCTACAAAACTGGTTTTACTTAGGTTTATATAACAAAATACCAGAAAATGGTTGGTTTGAATAACAAACATTCATTTCCTGATATCCTGGAGACTAGAAAGCCCAAGATCAAGGTTCAAGAATATCTGGTTCTCTTGCAGACATTTGCCTTCTTGGTGTATCCCTGTATGATGGAAAGAAAGGGAGTACAAGCTTTCTGGGTTTTCTTATAAGGCTATTAATCCCATCACAGAGACCCCGCCCTTATTACTTCATTTAAAACTATTTTTTTTTCTCAAAGGACTCACTTCCTGTCACATTGAATTTAGAGTTTCAACATACAAATTTTGGAAGGACAAAAAAAAATGTCAATCCATAATAAGGCTTAGGAAACTGAACTGGCTGATACAGAACTAGCAATATTCTCATAATCTCAAGGTAGTAAGTGATAGAATTAGGATAAATCACTGATCTGAATTCATCTAGAGCCCATGCTATTCCACTACTCTCATGCTAAGGCTGACCATGTGTACATTTATTAATTTTTCTCCTCACTACAACAAAATATATCTTAGATGATTGAGATTTTTTTGCCCAAAGTTCTGAATTATAATCCATAACCAGAGCAATAAGAATATCAAAATATATGAGATGTTAGAATAAACACAAAGAATTGGTAACAATATGATCATCTACATGTGCAGTGTCCAATTAACTTCAGGATTGGGATCTCACCAAATTATCAAGCTCTAGCTTCTTTCGTGTAGTAATTAAATCTCTCAGAACAGAAGTACCATGAAAGATTGAGTCTGTGTGATGAAGAGAATGAATAAATCAACATTTACTGTGGCAGTCACCTCCTATTCCAACCTGTCCACCTTGTTCTTCAGCTTCCCCATCTCACATCACTCCAGAGACACAGACCTATGATCTTCAATATTTGAAGTAGGTAGACTATTCAAGAATTTTCAGGAATGTTGCATTTGGCAGAAAGCTTTTCATTAAAGAGACAGCACCAAGATGAATTTGTAGATAAATACTGACTGAGAACACATAAACTGAAGTAGGTATTGCTTTCGTTCTCATTCAAGCTCCCCACCTTAACTATCACCAGAGACTGGGACTTTTCTCTCACTTTCTTTGAGCTGGCAGCCTCAGAAATAGGAGTTCATTGCCTTCCCTTGGCTTGCTCTTAGATATAGGGAGCCAAGGCCAGGTACTCAAGCTGACTTCGGCAAGGCGGAACTTATGAATGGGAGGGCATTGCAGTAAGGGGGAAGGGCAGAGGGCGGGGCCCAGAAATCACAGTAAAATCTAGAATTCTCTTTGAGGCTGAGGTAGTCCTACACCCCAGAGCAGAGGGGGCGCTAGAGACGCAGCCCTGGCAGTCGGCCTCTCTTAGCCCTATCATTGGTGATCGCTCTCACTTCCTCCCAGAGTGCCCGAGGAAGGTAAAGGGCTTTATCTGAAGCAGCTAGATCAGCGAAAGGGAAAACGAAGTTCCAGTCTCTGGTCGGCTTCCAGGTGAGGAGTTTGACAATGAGAGAATCATTACCTCAGAAAAAGTGTCCCCTCCCCCTCCTCCAAAACCCCTCACTCTTATTCTCAGTCTTAAGAAGGCCTGAGGAGAGCGGGCTAACTGAGATTTTTGTTTATTTCCACCTCTAAGGTCCCAGGAAGGCAAGAGAAAATAAAAGCGGGAAGTCCTAGTTTAGTAGAGTAGGGGAAGGGGACCCTAAAATCAGTAAAGGCGAGGAAACTTAGTTGGAGACCAAGACTGTGTCTTCCAGAAGACGCAAACATGGAGTCAGGTACATGTGAGCCGTTCTTTCTTATTAGGTATAGGGCGGGGGTGTTAAGAGTCTTGGACCGAAGTGTGTGGGGAGCCAGAGGTGGCTCCGGTAAGCAAAAAGGGTATCATGCTTAACAGGGAATCAAGGGCATAACCTTCAGTGAGTTTTAAGGAAATCACCAATCTCTGAAGAGTGAGATGGCCCAGAGCCTGACCCTACCATAAGTCTGGGAAGCCCAAATGAGGGGCATCAGGCAAATTTCTGCAAGGATGTGGTAGTCTCTTGAGGATATGAAGACCTGGGTCATGGGTCCTCGAGTCAACATAGGGAAGCTTCCCAGTTATAGCCAGGTTTCAAGGCAAGAAATTGAGGGAACCCAGGTCCTACTGGCAGCCTGTGATGTTTGTGCACTACCAATGTAACTGGTACTCATTATATCCTATGGTATTGGGTAGGGGACAATAGTGTTGAGAGATATTTTTTAATAAATGTATGATGTAAGGTCCGCTGTAGGAGGATTTCTAAATATTTCCAGGAGTTAAGGTGAGAACCATAATGTCTGAGGGAAACATCAAGAAGAAGATACCACAGAATCCATCTCTTATTTTCCGCCTTAGGAGGCAATGCACAGATGAGGTGGCCCTCATATCCTCCTAGGGAGTTTTAGGAGATGCCAGCAGGAACAGAGAAGTTTGGCATAAAGGGAAGATTCAGAGGTCAAAGGAAGTGTTGAAGAGACCATTCACTATTGTATAGATAACAAAGAATCAGATCCCCACCAATGTATTTAGCACTAGAGGGCCCAGAACAGGGCTGTCAGGATGAGGCTGTCACTACTATATATCAAATTTAAGAGAGGTAAGGTATTTGGTATGAGAGTTAGCTACCAGTCAGAAGAAAGGAGATGTACCAGACACTACCTGGACATCAGGCAAATTCTCCAAATGAGAATTGTATACCCAAGCATGCCATGATAGAGAGGGCTCCTTGAAACTCTCAGCTGTGGAATCTCTGACAGGAATGTAGGATGAGAATGTCCTTTACTTCTTCCTCTGGGGTCTCAGGGGCATGTTGGCTTTTTGGTTTGAAGTATCAACTTGAGAGCAGAAAAAGAGAGAAGCCCAGGACTTTTCAACAGTTGATGTTGAATGGGATGACTTCCCACACCTCAAAACAGAGGCTCCACTACCACTCCAATACACCCTGGTAGGGACAGTGTGTAGCCTAAGACTCACTGTGCCTTCCAGGAGACAGGTTGATTAGACTATGAGCATTGTGGGTTCCTAAAGCAGTGCTCTCCCAGAAACCTGCAGAAGTGGCCTTAGTTAAAGCCAGGGAGGTAACTCCCTGCTGAAAGTGCTCTTACAATTTCATTTTCCCTCCTCCAGGTGCTTGCATCACCAGTCATCCTGCCCATATTCCTTCTATTGTCCCTAATCTGATTCATCATGCCTCGAGGTCTGAAGAATAAGTTCCTTGCCCGTGAGAAACACCAGCAGGCTCCAAGTGATCCTCAGGATTTTGAGGATTTTGAAGAAGCAGCAGCAGCAGCAGCAACAGCAGAAGGGTTCTCTTCTTCTCTCCACAGTCCACCTGGTACTGAGTCACGGAGCAGTCCCCAGGATCCTGAGAAAGCACAATCTACTACCACTGCTTCTGCAGGTGTTTCTTGCACTACATCTGATAAAGTTTCTAATAGCCAAAAGGAGGAAGGGAAAAGCACTTCTGAGGCCACACTCTCCACTGATGATTCCTGTGAAGATCTTCTAACTGGAAAGGTTGGGTTGTTGGAGCAGTTCCTCCTCTACAAGTATGAAATGAAGCAGAGTATTACTAAGGAAGATATGCTGAAAGTTGTCAACCAGAAGTACAAAAATGAGTTTGCTGAAATCTTCAAGAGAGCCTGTGAGCATCTTGCAGATGTCTTTGTAGTTGATGTGAGGGAAGTTGACTCAACCAATCACTCATACAACCTTGTCAGCAAGCTGAAACTCCCCAACAATGGGAGAATTCGTGCTGGCAGGGGATTACCCAAGGCTGGTCTCCTGATGAATGTCCTGGGTATGATCTTCATGAAGGGTGACTGCGCCTCTGAGGAAGACATCTGGAGATTCCTGAAGACGATGCATGTATATCCTGGGAAGAAGCATTTCATCTATGGAGAGCCCAAGAAGCTCATCACCAAAGATTTGGTGAGGCTAAAATACCTGGTGTACCGGCAGGTGGTCAACAGTGATCCTCCACGCCATGAATTCCTGTGGGGTCCCCGAGCTCATGCTGAAACAAGCAAGATGCAAGTCTTGGAGTTTTTGGCTAAGATTAATGAGACCGCTCCTAGTTTCTTCCCAACCCTTTATGAAGAGGCTTTGAAAGATGAGAAAGAAAGATCCCAAACCACGGATGCAACCAAGCCTGAAACTACTGCCAAAGCTAGTGAAGTTCCCAAGGCCTCATGTCCAGCAGCTTCTCTCACACCTGTTGAAGTTTGAGTCATTTTCATCATCCAGATAATAAAATATGACATTACAATAGGGGTTTTCTTGAAAATATAAGTGGGCTAATAGACTGCAGGAAAAAAATTACAACCTCATCAATCCTGGTATTGTCTAATTGTTTTTGTCTTTTGTTTTATGGAGTTAAATGTTCTGAACTTTCCTTGGCTTATTCAAAAATGTAGAAGAAATTAAATCTTTAAAAAATAGTCTGTGTTTCTTGACTCATTCGCCAAAATTAATTGAACATATACTGTTCAGAAGTCTCTGTGGTAGAATGGGATACTGAAATGAAGCAGACTCAGCCTCTACTTGTAGAATTATTTTTTGAGCCTACAAGCTGTAATCATACAAGAAAGTTGCTGAACTGCCCTATATAACTTTGAGGTAAAGTAAAAAGAATGAGTGTGGATGAAAGTATTCCTTATGAGAGCAATTAAGTGGAAATTTCATGAGCAAGGCAGTTTGGGGCTTTAGGAAACTGTGAGTCCTCAGTGGGATATAAATTTTATTTAAGATGGGTGTTAGGTTACTTGAAGCTGTGGAAGTGGTGAGTAAATTCCATGCTCTCAGATGGTATACCTCAGAGTTAAGAGGCAAAGTCCTGTAAGTCTGCTTGGGCTGCCATAACAAAATACTATAGACTGGAAACTTAAACAAAACACACTTATTTCCCACAATTCTTGAGCCTGGGAGCTCCAAATTCAAGGTGCCAGCCTATTTGGATCCTGGTAATGGTACACTTCCTGGCTTGAAAGCAGCCACTATCTCGCTGTGGCCTCACATAGAACAGAGAGACAAATCTAGTCTCTTTCCCTCTTGTTATAAGGACAAGAATCCCAACATGGGTGCCCACCGTCATAATATCACCTAAACTTAATTATTTTACCAAAGCACTACCTTCAAATATTATTGCATTGGAAATTGGTGCTTTAGCATACGAATTTGGGCAGGCATTGGCACAAAAACATTCAGTCTATAATATAAAATTGCCCAATAATTTGCTTTGGGATTGTGGGTAAACAAGAGTCAAATCTTCACCTGAGCAAGCAAGAAACTCCCTGAACTGTTTTCAGTGCTGATGAACACAGTTTGTGAACTGGGTATGCACATTTTCTCTCAAGAATTTCTGAGAAATAAGGGTAATAATTCCTTGAGGTAAGATGTACAGGAGCCACTATTTTGGTACCTTTTGCCTTGAACTGGAAGAGCTAGATCCTATTGTATTAAAAAGCCATTTTAATTAGGTTATTTTGAGTGTAGTTTAACAAATTTTAAGTGAGGGATAAATTTTGCTAAGAGTATAATGAATGTAAATAGAAATGGTTTATATGGGCACTTGGGAGGGAAGTACTTGTTCCTTGATACTAATTCTAGGAGCCTAAGTTACAAACAGTTGGAGGAGACAATCTTACACTAAAATAAGTGCTCTCACAGGACAAATTTACAATTTTACTTACTAGGGAGATTTTTTGGCTTATTCAGTCTCCTTTGTATAGGAGTATCCCATATTCTCTGACATCTGGATTTTTTAAAATGTTCATAATGTGGTGGGTGGTTTCATCTGGGATACAAAGAGATGCTATCCTTTAAATATTGGGCAATACTTTCAAGTAATCTTGCCATGTTATCTATGTGTAGTTCATACACTTCTACAAAATAGGGCTTACCAATTTAAATTGGCAGATAATGAACTTGCATTTTCTCAAGTTCACAAAACTGGCAGGTAGTAAAGCTGGGGTTATGCTCCTAATCTGAATTCGTCTAGACCTCATACTATTCCTCCAACCAAAGGCAGACCTTTTTGTCTTTTAATTCATTTTTTTCTCACTATTCCAAAATGGATCTCAGGCAATAAAAAGGCACTTGCAGCCAAAGTACTAAAAGCAGGCCTATTATGGGAAGGTAAATATGAAAATAAATTAAAATTTGAGTAATTTCCCTGGATTTAATTTTCCTGGGAGCCTCCTACTTTAATGTCCATAGCCCCTGAAAGCTCACACTGCCCAGGAATTGGTATTCTGTACAGCTTTAGCTCTTTCCATCATTACAGCCTCTTTCCTCTGAGACTTCTCCAGCGTACACTCCTTCCAACTATGGAATATTACCTGCTGACCAGCTCTTAACTGCAGCTGACTATGAAGGCTATACTTTTTTTTTCCAGTGGAGCAAACATTCCTATCACTTCCTATCACAGTTATTTAGAACATTCCAACGCCCTAGTGGTTGGCCATGACCTTCAGTATGTGTGTATATCATCTTTGTATTTTTGTTTATGTGATAAGTTAGATAAATTACACAATCTTATTTCCTGTCTCCCTTCCTCATTTTCTCTTTCTTTTCCTTATTTTTCAAATATTACTTTTAATAGTTGGTTTCAATAGTGTATGAGTTTGCAAATTACTTTGTTTACTCATTTATTGTGTCTGTATATCAGCTTAAAAGTAGGAGTTTTTACATTAGTGAAGTAAATTGGGAAGCTTTCCCTCTTATTTTGCAATTAGATGGAATCAGAATAGATGTTTGGAAATATGAGAAGACTCAGCAGTAAAATTGTTGGAATCAAGAAATAAAGCATGGGCTGGGATTGTGGCTCAGCGGTAGAGCGCTCGCTTAGCACAGGCAGGACCCGGGTTCAATTCTCAGCACCACATAAAAATAAAGGCATTATGTTGTGTCCATCTACAAAAATATTTCATTCTCTCTTCCCCCACCCTCTCTCTCACCCCCCTCTTTAAAAAAAGCAAACAGAGATAAAGATTAACAATTCCTGTATTCACTATCATTTGTTTGTTTGTTTGCTTGTTTATTTATTGTAGTAATGGGGTTTGAACCCAGATGTTGGAGATGAGCAACATCTCCAGCCCTTTTTTGTTATTTTGAGACAGGATCTCACTAAGTTGCCCAGGCTGGCCTTGAACCTGTGAATATCTTCCCTAAATCTTCTTAGTTCCTGGGAGGTTTACCTTACCAGGTTTTCCCTATTGTTTTCAGTATTCTCTTCTGCAAGGTTAAATGGAATGTACCTAGATTTGTTTAGTTTACTTAAGAAATTAGGAGAAATTAACTCTTATTAAATTAGATATTATGCTCATTGGGTCATTCAGTCTCTTAACATTAATCAGGTATCTGCTCTTTGAAATATACTGTGTTATTGTTGAGCATGCTATGATTTTTTTAAGAGCAGTTATCTCACAGGAAAGATGGTAAGATAATGGTAGACTAGAGGGTCAACATAAGATAAATAATAAAAGACTTGCGGTCCAGATTAGTACAGTGAAGTGACAGTTAAGTGTAAATTCTCTAAGACTTTTACATGTATTTGGGAAACTGCAAGTTCATCAGTGGGACTGAAGTTTCAGTTTAGCATGGCTTAGGTAGATAAAGTTGTGGAAATGAGGAATTAAGGTTAACTTTTCAAATGAACAAGCTGTTAGAGTTATCACCATTTTCACTAATTCTATTCTATTCTGCTACTTTTAAGAAGAAACAATCTTATCTTCTGTGACTGTGAAGTATTTCACAATATTATGTTCCTCCACGTGTTTGAAGTGGGAATGGTAAAAGGTTGTATGTTGCTGGCATTAAAAAAAAAAAACATGCTAAATGTCACTCTGTACATAATGGCATTTTAAACAATAGTAAAGGGAATATATGACTAATTTTTATTTCTTCATTAGTCTATCTGGTCTCATTAACCCTTTGAAAGTAAAAAATATTTCAGAAGCTCATTCTTCTACAATAATGCTAAATCATACAGAACTTGTAAAGTATATTTTTACATAAGATCATAAATTTTCCCTGTGAGTTATTTTCCCTCATTGTTAATATTACCACATTACATAGCCAGTAGAGTATTAAAGTCATTAGTATCCTTGGAAGTCTATGATACACTTACAATATGTCTAGGGACAGGTTACATAAATAAAGCATTCTATTTACAATCCCACTTGTATATAATTATTAGAAAAACATTTTAAAATACCAATTTAACAATAGCACTATATAATTTATGATGGTAGGATAGGCTTTTTTAACTATGCTGGATAATAAATTAGAAATACCTATTCTTACAAAAAATGTATACTGTGATTACTGATGTAAGTCCCATCAGAATTAGCATATACAAAACTTTCACTACATGAAGAAAAGTTTTTTACAATTGAAATTTAAACCACAATGTTAAAATACTGCATGAATCTAAGCCACCTGCTCTCCATTGATAGCAGGTGGCTTGTATTATACTGTTATTCAAGCAATATGTGAAAATTTAAGAGTTTGCTATACATATATCATAGGTATAATAGTTCTCATTTTAGTAAGACTTTTAAAAAATCAAATATGACTAGGCCATGATATGGTCCAGTTGTGTATAAAATTTCTTTTAGAGAAACAAAGAATTTCTTTGGACCAATGCATAAAACAGAAGCTAAAATTTCTTCCTTTGACTCACATTTAGGTAAGCATACTTATTCCAACTCTCAAAACACTCATTTACTTGAGCTACTGCAAATGGGAAATTATGCATTTTGAAAAAAAAAGAAATTACTTTTTGGATTGCATTTTATATAGCATAATTTCTTTAATGTAGCTGGGGCAGTTTTGAATTAATTGAAGAAAACTTATATTAAGTAAATTTCTTAATTCAATATAGTATTCTAAATGATGTGGCACATTATTCTTGGTGCCAATACCATTCTGTTTTGTTAGTGTTGTTCTGTAGTATAGTTTAAGTTCTGGTATAGTGATGCCACCTGCTTCACTCTTCTTGCTAAGGATTGCTTTAGGTATTCTGCTTCTCTTATTTTTCCAGATGAATTTCATGACTATTTTTTTCTATTTCTATGATGAATGTCATTGGGATTTTGAATGGAATTCAATTAAATCTGTATAATGCTTTTGGTAGTGTTGTCATTTTGGCAATATTAATTCTGCCTATCCAAGAACAAGGTTGATATTTCCATCTTGTAAGATATTCTTTAATTTCTTTCGTTAGC